CCACATAGCTACATAAATGTCCCCTTTCTGATTCCAGCCCGGGAACTTTGTTGCATATCATGTCAGAGAAGACTTGTGGCAGAGGAAGGTCAAAGCTAATGATGATGATGATGATGATGATGATGATGATGATAATTATGATGATGATGGAGACTGTAATCTGAATGATCAAGACAGTCAGGATTTAACAATCCTGCATGCACAAGTGGAGCTAGATGAAGTTGATATATTTACTGTTATATATATTCATTGGCAGCCTCCAAAGTGTAAATGTTAGCTTTAGTTTCTTCTTTCATTGCTGCCATCCTGAATGTCACTTGCTCCTGATTATTTATCCTTTTTAAAATGGACGTTATAAAAGGCTGCAGGGTTGCTGGGCTGGAATTAAAACTTCTGGTGTTTAGACTCTCTTTACTCGTGCTTAACAAAATATTTGAAAGAGAGTTGAGTCTATGAATTAAACTGATCTGGTTTCAAGACTGATGGAATAGTGGGCAGGCTGCCATCCTAACTGGTTACCAGCCCAAGAATAACAATCCATTAGGACAGATTAGCATGGATTGGAACGTTCAGTTCCTTTATTCTAATTTAGGAGTATTTTTTTCTTTAAGCCAACATAAAGGCATTCAATTTCAGCTTGCCTGCTTTTTTGTTAGAGAGTTTGCCACAACTTTCAAGATGCCTGCCTTCATGGAGATCAGGAAGGGGGAAAAAAAGTTGGGGATTAGAGGGACTTTTTCCACACCTGTTTGGATGATTACACCTTTACAGTATGATTCATTTGAGTATACAGAGTTTGATGACTTCAGCAAATTTCCAGAAAAGCCAACCCCCAACACCAACCTCAGCCAGATCAACTGAAATGTTTGTCTGTGCAGAGATTTGACGCATTTACTGTACATCTGCAGCATTAAATTATGTGAACTCATGAGTCACATGAGTATGTGTTCAAGAGGATTATCATCAATATTATATTTTCTAGTAAAACAGATTGATTAGGATAAGAATAATATAGACATCACAAACGGTATTATGCGTCTCTACTTTGTGCATGACATTTCGTTTTATCCAGATATTACTCCGTTGCTGCTGAGATTGACGAAACAGCGGAACATTTTCAGATCATTAGCTTTGAAGATCACAACAAATGTGCTGCTGGGACTACAGAGAAGATTGCTGGCACTTTGGCCTTGTGGGAACAAAAACACAGAAAGAAAGTGTCAGAAAAAATCCCAAAGGGCCACAGCAGCGTTCACAAGTCACTTATAAATCGAAGCATATGCTTGTTTCTGATTTAAAAAAAAAACTAATTTCATGCTTTTGGTGCCAGAAATGAAAATAATAATGCTGACATTTATTCAAATTCAAATAATAATGAAATCGATAAATCGAAACGCTTGGTGATTTTTGGTTAAAGCCCTTGATCCTGTGTTCTTCTTATCTGTAAGTCCAAACCTGTTTGTAATAAGAGCTTGCCTTCATACGTGAGCTATGTCCCACCAGAAAGTCAAACCTGAATAACAGCTACTCGAAACCAGCTTACACTTGATTCAAAAAAAGGTTCAAATCCTTGTATGAACATCTGAAGATTTTGAAGTTTGGTGGTATACTGTTTAATTACCTTTAACTGTTTGATTGCTCTTCATTGCATTGCTTTTTATACTTGTCTATATGTATTTTGTGTGTTCTCTGAGAGGGAGGGATAAAGAGCGGCTAACAAACATCTAAGACTTCAATATCAGAACTAAAGAAGGCTTAAAACTAATAATGTTAAAATTGCTTGGACTAGGTGGTTTTAGTGTGATTCTAAGTGATTGTTGCTGGGGTATTTTAGGTTGTTGCTAGGTGGTTGTGTTTTCAAAAACAATGTAGCAACAGATCACTGCCAAATTAATAACATATTTCTCCTCAATGACCTGCATATCAGTGCACTGTATTGTATGTGTTTAGGGGTGGGAACAGCAGGACAAAAAAACCTAGTAGAAGAAAAAATGCATGAGACAGTGCATTACTGGAATCAGCGTGTTTCCAAAAACATATCTAAATATTAGGACCAAAAGGAATAAAGATAAAACCAAGACAGCTGGAAGGAAAAATCTGCCAGCAGGAAATTGGATGACACAGTGGGGAGAAGGTTCATAGAGAACGTCTACTGCCGCTCACTGTCTTCTTGAGGACAATGGTGTGAAATCTTACAGGTGCTCATTAAAGCCTTTCTTTTTTTCCTGGGAACACAGCCATATTACCAAAGTGTTTGTGTGTTTGCATTGTAACTCTGGTTCATTTTTGAAGTCACTCTATGATAATTACCTAGGTCGATCCTTAATTATTAACCACTGGCACAGTCTTTGATGCGTAAAAAAAGCATGATTATATGTTTGAGGCTTGATTTAATGCTATGTGTCTTCTGCAGCCTCTAAGCAGCAGCTTCTCTTGCAATCAGCCTACAAAGGGGAATTACATGGAATTTTAACAAACCCAGCCTACAGCATGCTGAGAACTGTCAAGTTTCTTCCCAAAAACTGAACAATATTTTCTGGTAATGATCACTTGAATTTTGCTACAAAATATATAAACAGTGCAACTGAGATTTGTGCAAGAACTGACGTTTACATTATTAGCCTCCACCCTGTGGTCTGATATGTCCTGAATATGAAACTCAGCTGTGTCTTATCAGTTGCAAAATGGACATATTTAAACTTGACAGTCTTATCCCAAAACGACAGAAAAACACATATTTCAGAGACATCTCAGAACAAACGCTAAGTGACTGCTAAATGACTTGCCGACAGGCTCAACAAGACTGTCAGCAATAAAAAATGAAATTAAAAAGATTATAAGATTATAATAATCATCAGTATGTGTTCATAGCTGTCCCATAAAACTTGATAACAACGAGCTTTGGAGAAAAACATCTGGATGCTCTAATTCCTGTTGTTGCATGGGAGTCATTCTTTCAGCCACATAATTCTCTGTTTGTTGCGCAACTTTGAAAGCTTAAGAAAACTGCCTGTTGAAAACTGCCTTTGGGTGGCTGTCCTGAAGTGTGCTGCTAACACAATTTCAACAGTGGATCATTTGCTGCCCTGCCTGCCAAATAACTGACATACTGAGGTCAGCCCAACTTGATCCCCCTGTCCCACCCAATACACAGCCTGCATCACAACGGAACTGCTGTGCTGTATCATGTGGACTCGAGGAGTGAAGAGGAAAACATTGCTGGCAATATGGGTACTAAAAGCCATGTTGTATTAGAGACAGCACAACCACATGTGCACCCACTAACATAGCGTATTTCATAGCCTACGTGTACACTGATCATTTGAACGCAGGCATCAAAACGGGCAAATTCAACATGTTTTCTACCGTTTTTTTCGGGTTACAACGTGGGCCTTGTTTCAAAATGAGAAATATTTATCGAATTTATTCCAACTGGAGCATGAGGCAGAGCAGATGGGGTGAATGAAATGAGATTTTGTGGGCTGCATAAACACAGCCCTGGTACTGCTTCAGCTGAGATTGTAAAAACAGGAGAGAGAAGAAAATGTTTCTAGTATACTGGACTGATAATCTCCTAACAGATATAAATAAATTGATTTGGAAAGCCTCAAAATAAATTAAAAATTAAAGTGATCTAACTAGAAAGCACAACTTCAAACACTATCTCCAGAGAAGAGGGGGGAGGGGTGGGTCAGAATCCAAATTGCACCAAATAGCTTATTTCTCTTATCAGTGAAACACTTGGTATCTAAAATTTCAGATTTTGTTCATAAAGTGTTGAACTGGACTAAGTTGAGAGGCTTAATACAATAACTGTTAATCCTTTTTTTCTTGAAATTAACTTTATTACCCAGTCATGACCATGACTTATATAAGTTGCTGATACTGACATTTGGGCCCTGTGTCACTCTTGCGTTCATTCATTAATAGTCTGCTGACTGTTGTATTATGCACATTTTTCCATCAGTGAAATGATGGGCATTGTGTTCATTCATTGTTGCCATATACTGTTATTGCTGTATACAGTCTCTCTGTACCAAAGGCTTCGGAAAGACATTTTGTAGACACAATAGAGGACAAGTGGAATCATAAATCAGCACAAAATAGCTTCTTGTCTCAACTTTTAAATATTTGAATACAGCACATTAATTTAACATTGATGCAACAGTGACTGGTGGCAAGAATTATATTTGTCTTAAAGGTCAGATTTTCTTATGAAATTATATACAAAAAAACAACAGTAAACTCTGGGAGTAAATCACTTAAGATGTATGGCAAGTTATTGACAAGCAGTCAGCAGCATATTAAGTAGTCCAGAGTCGGTAACAAAAAATGAAGGAAAATGGTCTGAGGCTACGTAGCATTTGATTTCCAACACCTTAATGAGCTCCATCGAGCTCTACTTTCCCTCCGGAGAGATTTGTATATCAATCTCGACCTTGAAGCACCAGGGCCAGGGTTCTCTTGTTTCTGGACATTCAGCCTCATTTCGGTTGTGACCTTCCTCTGTCCTCCCTGCAGCTGCTCCTGATGCCAGTGAGCGGACAGGATGGACCCCCTGATGGGAACAGTTGCAGCTCTCTGCCAAAGGATCAGCTTACATCCATCAGTGCTGCAAAGATAAGATGTGAAATTAAATATCTGATCTTGATTGTTCGCTTTCGGGAGGCAGGTCACAAATGAAGAAAAAAAATCATCTCCAGGCATCTTCTTTTTTTTTTTCAAAGCTTGGCCTGTTAGTGGTTAGGACATTGAATGGGATAGTCTTAAGGCAGGCTGCTACATTTGCAGCGCAGATACAAAAGCACTGGAAAACTGCAGTGGTTCTGTGTAAAACACATCCAGACATCCTGTTCTGTCTCTTTGGTCTCGTCAGAATGAGATGGTGTGGTGGCCAAATACAGCTCAGCTCACACAGCTGTGGAGAAAAATTTGGCCTAAGTTAAACCACAAATCTTTGTGTTGAGGAAAGCCCCTGAGTTTGCTTAACAAGGTCAGAGTTTATTGCCAATGTGCGGAAGTTTATTGTTTTATTGTTTTTTAAAACACAAATTTATAATGCAAAATTACATAATTTCAATGATTTCAATCATTTTCAATACTTTAAGGCAACAAATCGTACTGTCATATGCTCAAATGCTTTCCCAGAGTTTTATGAACCATCTGTAATCTGTACCAGATTTCAATGGTAGCTATTTCCTGCAGAGTTGCATACTTCTTGTGATTACGTCTTGCAATTGCAGTACTTTGAGAGTTTATTTAGTGATAATTGTTACTGTTATTGTCTCAGCTCCGATCTCTTTTTTTTCATTCACATAAAGGGAGATTACTGTTGAACACATGAAATCACCACCATCCCTACCATGGTGGGAAGAGTCTAATAAGATTTAAACTTAAGTAATAGCTGTGTAATGAGTCGTTAAAACCCACTGTATACCCACAATGCACAAGGATTAGATGCGGCAAGGAAACAGAAAATAATTTCCTGGTCTCATGCTTCCCTCTTGTGGCCAGTTCAGGCAATTGTTTCACTGCTGATTCCTGAATGAACTCCTTGGGAAAAAGGGGGGAAGTTAGATAGAAAACATGGCTCCTCATAGGAGTTCAATATGCACCCCACTGACTTCTACATTAATTTTCTACAGTGGTGGTAACATATTTTAATTTATAAGCTGCAGCCACTTTAAAAGAGTAAAAATACCATGAGATTGCGTAAGGTTTGGCAAGTGCCACATACCACACGGGACCCATGGATATGATTACGGGTTTTACTGAATTCCAAAACATGCTGAGCAGAAAATAACTGCATGTTCTGACCTATGTCACTGCACACTAGCTTATCTTACTTTTCTTAGGTTTTTAACTTAGTTTGTCTCATGTCACACCACAAAACTAATTCAAATTCATTTTCATACACTTACAATTTGTCTACAGTTTGGAGTGAGAGAATAATACTAATATTCAAATTCTCACATTCAGACACTGAGGCCATCAATGAAAGAAAACAGTGCGATTTGGTTTCCATAGAATTTGTAAATGTAAAAATGTATCAGACAGGACAGGCTGAGATTTCTTTTGTCATTTTTCTCAATTAAACTCACAGTCAGTTTATTGAGAAGGGAAACTAGAAAAAGCATGGGCAATTGTTTCTCATCAAATTGCAAAGTACTAAGTACATTTACAAATAAAATATATCTCAAACACAAAATGTTGGGGTGTGTATAAGCAAAAAATTAGTGCTGACATGTGACCGACAGTTCACTAAAATCTAGCAACAAAGAGATGTGGTAATATGGACATAGTCTTCAGCATTTCCACAAGTACATTGTAATTGTAACAAAGGTCAATGTTACAGCCTCAGCCCTCGTACATATCAAGATACTACAAATTTAAACCAATATAAACAACATAAACTGGGTTTATATTTTTACACCCAGCAATGAAAAACATTCATGGCTTCAAATTTAAGCATTAATATCATTCAAGTCTATTTATGACATTCAAGTGTAAATACAAGTGTTTTGATGGTTGTGTTGCAAATAATCTAAGCGATTACAACAAAACATTAAAATAAACTACCAAAGAAACGTATAAAATCACATAAAACAATTGTTTTATATCATGTGTACATATGAAACAAATATTATTATACAGTATATACAGTTTAACACTCCTGCAAAATAACAAAAACACATGTTGGTGTGAAGTTCAATCAGTCTATCAATGAGAAATACTAACCAGTACAGCAAAGTCAGACGATAATGTGACCAGCAAATGACCAATTTCTCTTAAAGTTATCAGTATAGTTCAACATGCACAAAGAGGGCATCACACTAAAGTTTCAGGCAGGGCGTCCGCGTTATCTTTCGACAGTATCTGCCATATATGCCACCTCTCTGTCTGCCAGTCTGGTGCGCCGGGGCCCCTTTCTTGTCCAGGCCCAGCAGCATCTGAAGTATTTACAGTCTGGGGGGCCGGGCTTTGCTGGGACTGCTGTGGGGTTTGGGGGTCAGGCTGATACGTGAAGAGGGAGGGTGTGGAGTGAGAAATATGGGTCTCCCTCAGCTGTCCAGAGTACTGAAGGGGAGACAGACTATGCGTCCTGACCTTAAATAATGGACATGCGGGGTGTCCTGTCCTTTCTGCTAAGTTGTCCGAGCTGATGGCTCCCAATTGGCCACTCAGTCCCTGATGTAATGGTGATTGCGGTTGTATCTGTCCTCTCTGGTCAAGAGGACCACTGTTGCTGCGAGTCACCGGGAGGTGTGGCCTGGTTTCCAGCACGCCCAATGAGGTTTGTGTTGGTCTGACGGGAAGCTTGTTGTTACCTTGGTGACTGCTCAGCCCTTCTGATGATCCATACGACTCACATTCCGACACGTCTCCTAGGGAGCCTGGGAGAAACCATTCATTAACATCCAGCATTCATTACATCTCTCAAGACCATCTGCAGCAACATGTACAGAGGATTATTACCAGTGATATGATGGCCACTAAAATCCTTGCTGAGCAGTTCATGCCAGGTGTCCCAGAAATTATCAGTTGTGGCCTCTAACAGGAACAAAAGCATAAAGAGGATTACTTCCTTTGGTTGAATTCATCATTTTATCAATAGAAAATAAGTCCCACACAATTTTTACGAAAGCTTCTCTTCCCATACCCTTGGCTAGACATTGGCTTCAGGTCTCTTTCATATGTTTTAAAAAGCTTAACCATAATACTAAGGTTTTTGTGACCATATTCTAAGATAAATTACTACTACTTTGGTACAAGTAAAATGTGAAAACCATGTCATTTTAACAAAAATCAACCACAGAGGCACCGAGAGCTGCTCTTTTTGGAGGTTAATAATAAGTATTTGATCTTTCATAAAATGATATATACCCAGCAGTGCACTTTCAAAAGTTTTGTAAGAAATAGTTCAACTAATGGGAAATTTGCCTATTCGAGATTTAGATGAGAAGATCAATACCACTCTCATGTATGTGCAGTAAATAAGAAGCTACGGCTAGCAAGCCAACTGAAACAGCTAGTAAATGCCTGTGGTGTATGTACATACAAATGTTTATAACACACATGCATTAACATTTTCTGTATGCTACCTTGCTACAGAGTCAAGCTAACGGTTTCCTCTTTTTTACTAGTGTTTACACTAAACTAAGCGAACCACCTGCAACACCAACATACTTACCGTACAGACGAGAGAGTGGCATTAATCTTCTCATCTAAATGTTAGCAAGAAAGTAAATAAGCACATTTCCAAAAATGTCAAAATGTTCCTTTAAACTATACTTCATAAGACAGAAGTATGTACATGTTGCAATGAATTTAGATCACCTTTGTCTGTAGAAAGTGTAGGAGAGGTGCTGCTAGATCCATCTTTAGAACGGCCACTGAGTTTATACTGTCCAGAAAGTCCGGGGATCCTGTCTGAGAGTGGACTGCTGCCCGCTGGGTATTTAAACAGCAGTGGATCTGACAGAACAGGGGAGTTGTTGTCATAGGGAGACACCTCTCCACTAGATGCTTTGATGGAATCATTGGATAAGCACCTCTCAGTCAGAAAGGCCTCCTCTGCTCTCAGAAGGCCTGGCTCTCTGTTGAAATGATAAATTGCAATTAATATATACAATAAATATCACCAGGGGGTAATCATGAGACAATGTATTCTTCATCTGGAGGTTTGGGCAGAAGGACAAAACACACACGCACACTATGAGACAAAAGGAGGAAACTCACGAGTACTGAGAAGCCTTCCTCCGCAGTAAGTAATCCACAACATCAGGATCTGTCTCTAGCAAACTAATCAGCACCTCATTCTGCAGGTCAGCAGGAACCTGAAAGAAAATTAAGAATCACACTTGAACTGAACCAAACAATGACACACTTCTCCACATTGATTAGTTGTATGTCTCTGTACTGCATACAAATATATGATCTTTTTTTAAAAAACATTTACCACATTCTGTGAATTTCTTTTCTACACAGTATTTAGTGTCTATGATGCAATATGCAACAGAGACAGCATGTCACTTGTATGCTATAAGGTGAAAATAATTAACAGCAGTTTAGAAAAGCAGAACTAATGATGCAGAACAAATGTCTGATGGGCTTTTTTTATTTCCCCTCTGGCTTCCGTAACAGATAATTTTCAGATACTCAAATTAAGTGCATCTGCACTTAAGTTTCTGGTTAAAAGCAGAAAACATAATGTATTACTTTTTCGCCCAACCATTGTCTATAACCAAAACAGAGGGTGGGATGACACTTATTAACCTCTGCAGTGAGGCTTATCATTTGTCATGCACTAAAAGGAGTATTCACTAAACTTAATTTCACATGGTTCAGGAGAGAAAAACAAATAGCACGGACTGATTCTACTTTGTTTTCTAAGTGACCATAAAAGCGCAGTCCTTCTCAAAAGCTTCAAAGCTAATGTTTACATTTTATTAGGTGGCTCCATAAACACTTTTTTTGCCAAGGTAAAAACTGACTAAGACCTTGAGATTGTTTGATTAAACGGAGTCTTTAACTGTAAAAGGCTTTTGGTTGGCAGTAAGGATGGCTTACCATAAAGAGTGTATCGTATGTATTGATCATCCTTTGGACCACGCTGATGATGGATGTGCTCTCCTCTGCACGGGCAAAACTTTGGACTGCAAACTCTTTGTCTGAGTTTTTTTGTTTGTGTAAGAGGTTGGGTCCAAAGATGGTAGCTAAATTGAGCGACGTCATCTTGTTTCCTGTGATCTATACAAAAAGAAGACAGAATATATTCATACTTTCAGTGGATATTTAGTAGGGTGTAGGGTAGGTTTTCAGCTACAGTAATGTAAGCATCCAAGCATAACCACTACATGGTAGAATACCAGTAGTAGTTCTTAAATTATACAATGCAATTACAAGAAATGTTTTCTAGATCAAATTATTTACACAGAAGTTAACAAATTACCCTACATTTTCTTTTCTTCTACCCATGTGCTTACACAAAGGAATGAAAACTCTACACTCATAGAGTAATTATTGTATTTAGAGTCTGTTGCTGTAGGCAGACCCTCCTTGGCACCCAGGAAATGTTGGGAATGTGCACCTAACATAGCCCTGCCACCATCAATAAGGCTGGCCCTCCCTTCTTTTCTTCAAAGAGACCTCTTTTGCTCTGTTACAGTATGTATGCTCTAGGACTGAGGCCAAGAATAAACGTGGGAACCAATTAATCTCCACTGCGAAGATCAGTTCTTAAAAAGCACACATAATTTGTAAAAAAAAAGATCTTTACAGAAAAAAGGATTTTGGAGCCATATTAAACTGCAAAATCGCCAAAGACTCAAGTTATGTTCACAAGACACTTAACTGTGTGAGATAATTCATCATTATATTTTCAAACAATCACATTACTAATCTCACATCTTTAAACCACATACTTAAATCACTGTGCTGAGGGACACACAGTTGATTGACACTGGATTCATGGAGTGGGACAAAAATACTGTAGCTTTCAGCACAAATATGTAAATGTTGAGATAAACTGTTCCCCACTATGTCACAAATTACTCACACTTCTCATCGTTTACAACAAATAGACTGGGGAAATAAATTATGACCAAACTGTATGATGAATGTAGGAGCATAGCGTTGGTGTGGTTACTGTGCAGCAGGGTGGTTAGCGTTGGTTGTGCATCATTTAATCAAGATGCCCACAATGGGTCATCGTGCATAATGCGCTGCGCTTTGGCACAGCACTTTCTCCAAATTAGAGGCTGCAGATGTAACAAACATCTGTCTTACTGCCCTCTGAGGGGTGTTGGGATTCATCACAATCACATTGAACTTGTAACCAGTTTATTTATGTTAAACAGCATTATTCTGCGATAGTCCCCTAACATATTCCTTTGTACCTGTTGGTGTAATCAAGAATTGTAAAAAATGTGTGACATACATCCACAAAGGTTTAATCTCAAGCCACAAAAAACAGGGTGTTTACGGTTTCTTTACCTCGTGTCCCTGATTGTCCATGCTGTCTTCAGCATGTGCAGCCACTGTGGACAACAAGCAGAGGAGGCGCTGCAGCGTGTCACTGTTGCAGGGAGGAAGCAAAAATATCAGGAGCTGGATGGCGCTCTGTTGGTCTGAACAATCCAGCACTGCGGGGAAAAAAGTGAAACTGACATCAGTTAAAAACACCACACACGTGAATGTTTTACCCAAGCATGGTGATTTGTTGTTATTTCTTTGCTTGTGTGTACATGTGTGTGCTCCTCACACATTGTGTTGATGAAGGCTGTGTAAAGTTCCTTTGTCAGCAGTGGGTCAGGCATGTCTCTGAGGAACTCTTTCAGCAGTGCAGCCACATCATGGACACTGTGCTCCTCATCCAAATGTACCTCCCAACCCTGGTCAAACTCCTCGCGGAGCTGGATGAAATATTGTGACAATTATATAAGCAAAAAAAATGCTGCTCATAGTTGATGCAGTTCATTCAATGAAGGTGTGTTAAAGCTAACCATTTGAAAGCGTACCTGTCGTACTCTCTTCTTGGAACTCCCGACACGGAAAATTCCAACTGTCTGCAGGCCTAAGCAAATATTATGCTCTTTTAGTGCCAATATTGTTGCTAATAATCAGCCTCACAGACATTCAGATTGCATAAGTGACAAGGTTACACCCAAACTGCATTTGTTACAGAATCATAGATTTCCACAGAGCTATGCTGGACATTTCTATACTGTACACTACATTGATAATGTTTACCGTGTTTTTCCAGGTGCTGGCAGCAGAGATCCACAACCCTGGGCACCTGTCTGTAAATAGGGTTAAGGCTGAGCTTTTTGTCGTGGCGCTTCTTCCTGTTGCCAGCTGCCTCTACTGGCAGAGACAGCTGGAGGGCCTCCAAGAGCCGAGACTGGTTATCATCAAGGTCAGTGATGCAATCCACAGATACTCCGCCCTGTCAAGCAGATGGGTGACAACTGTCCAGTGAGTGCTGTGAGTCATAAAATGTGGCTGCACCACCCACCCACTGCGTGAACATCCAGAAAAAGGTCACAAATTCCCAGAGAAATCTAGTGTGCAAGTGTAATCAGACAGATTACAAAAGGTTTATTGTCAGAGAAGCCTACCCTCCTGCGTGTCCGTGGGGCTGCATCCACTGTGCTGGGCAGAGGTGATTCATTAGGGGTCTCAGAAGTGGAGCTAAGGGATGAGTTGCTGCTGGAGAGCTCCTTGTTGGTCCTTTTAAAGCTGGAGGTCAGGTGGAGGAAGGATAGCATCAATTCAGTGGGGTCACTGTGCCCCTCCCGCGGGGGATCGTGTCGCTGCTTGTGTATGCGGTCGTTGGATATGACCTGCGACAGTGGTATGCCAAAGGCCTGGGGCATAGTCTCTGTGTGAGAGAAAAGGGCAAGACAGAGAGGCTTAAAGTGCATCTTGTTGGCCCCAAGTCAACTTGGAGATGTTGAATCACTTTTAATATGTGATCATTCATATTATATAGTTTACCCTCTGGATCTTGTATTTTCTGCACAAAGTGTCTAAACTGTGTTTGCATTCATTCTTTATATTCTTTTAAATAAATGCTGCTCTAAATAAATATGACAGGAGAAATGCCAAGAACAGTGCTCTGCAGTGCTAACTCAATATTCACAGTCAGGGAGCGCATAGTTTCTGAAGTGCCTTTGTAAACAAAAGTGGAAAAGAGGAAAGAGGGGGCCGGCCATGCCGGAGGATAGGCTGTAATGAATGAGCTACCACTTAAGATTGTTTTTGTTATTTCCCTCGACTGCCTGTCTGACAGAGAACATCACTTTCCTGCCAGATTGTTACAGCGGGCGCGGCAGTTGAAGATCACAGCTTCCTCAGAGACTTCTTTAGTGCACTGTAGATTCTGATCACTCAGAGCTCCGCTGGTATACACGGCAGAAAATGTCTGCTTCGGTGAGTCCATACAGCTTCAGCCAAAAGGATCAAAGAGTATCTTTTCAAGTGTCTGAGGCTGACTACACTAGAAACTAGAGGGGAATAAATGTCTGACAGGGCTCAGTGGCTCTCCCACAGACCTAAAAAAGAATTCTGTTTATCTTCACTGGGATGGAAAAAATAACAATTTCACTGAGTATGCTAGAAATTCTTATCTGAAGACAATTCGCCAGAGAAGCACTTAGATTCCCCTTACAGTTAGGAGTATGTGCATCGCATCCCACATTACCTTTGTCTTTGCTCTTCTCTTTAGATAATGAATCCAACTTCAGCCTAAGTGACTTTTTGTGCTTGTGGCCATCTGAAAAGAGGCAGAGGTGTCACGGTTAAATAAAGAACACTTGTCGATATGCTCCTGGGCTCTACCACATATGGCATTCTCAAAGTATATAATCGACAACAAGATTACAAAAGACTACAAAATAAATGGAATAAAACTATTTAAGTATTCATAATATTATATATTTTTTGTTTAAAATTGCAAATAAAACAGCCTGTTACAGTATAATTATAGTAGACAACCTCGCACCATGAAATCAATTAAGCAGTAAGGACACAAAAAATAAAAACTATGTAGAGTTGTGCGATATGATGGTAAATTTAGAGAACAATTACTTTATCATGATATACACCTTGCCATTATTGTGATATATACATTGGGCATATTTGCTACGTTAAAAAAATATATGCATTTTAAACGTTGCCATTTTGCTGCTCTGTATGTGTTCAGAAGACATGCTGTGACAAGCTTTTGCCTGGGACAGAGTAGCAACTTGCTGAATAAGGAAGGGGACTATTTTGTGTGTGTGTGTGTGTGTGTGTGTGTGTGTGTGTGTGTGTGTGTGTGTGTGTGTGTGTGTGTGTGTGTGTGTGTGTGTGTGTGTGTGTGTGTGTGTGTTTTAATACATTTAGGGATGGTGATGGGGCAGCCCAGGTCGCGATCCCGAAGCAATCGCCTAAAGGCCACGTCCTTCAGACGAACCCTCTCCAACTCTGAGAGGCTTTGCAGGGGGACGGGCTTCAGGCCAACGCTACGTCCTGACACGCTGTTCCAGGTGAAGTCACCCTGAGGACACACACACACACACACGTATTCACAAAAGACGTCAGATACATCTATATCTATCATTAGTTGCCGTCACTTTCTAAGTTCATGACCAATCGCAGCCTCTACCAACTCTGAGCATGACTGACAGACACCTTTGCTTCACTTGCCAACTTAAACATTAACATTAATCATTTGCTGTTTTCCATGACAAAGACTGAAAGCTAACACTGTAAAGACAGTTTGCTTTCAGATATGTCTAAATGGTATTATGTACTTGACGTCAGAATGCAGCACTGGAGTGTACTTTCCATGTAATCTAACACAAATGTGTTTTTCTGATTTAAGTAGCGAGAATTGAGAGTTGTTGACATTAGCAATACTTTCAGTAAGGGATTTTTTTATTGGGCGCGTTCTCTCAACGGAGAAAGCAGCGAGAGACCTGATTATGTAGATTGTCCTATTTTACAAGTAGCAAAAATGTGCTTATAAATAATGCAATCACACATTAACAGAAGCTCTTAACTGTGAAATACCTCGTTTTAATTATATCCGCGCTCCACTCAGTAAAGTGCATGCCGCTGCATATAATTTAGGTACATAGTCCACTGATTTTTGAATAAGCTATCGTCAATATAAATAAAAAACTTTCCCTAAATAATACTTCATTAGCAAACAGTGCCAGAGATGAGCCATTCTGAAGTTTTAGTACCTCACTAATGACGAGGGAGGCAAATAATCTGATCTGAAATCCTCAACCTTTGAGCATCTACATGCTGGAGATTACAGTGCTTTGATCCAGTACAGTCAAGCCAATCATATGAGCCATGTTCCAAAGAAGCTTAGTAACTCATTATCAGGATAAGGCTTACACTTAAGTGGCTCACTCCCATTAAATGAGAATTAGGACTGTGCTACAGTAGCATACTGTTTTCTGGTACACATACAGTATGACAAAGTACAGTATAAATATGGACAGAGGACGTGATGTGATTATTTTCTTTTGCCCGCACAAAGGCAGCCGTCACTATCATGTGTCCAGTTTGTCTTTGGGAACCGAGTGGAAAATAATGAGCATTGGATCAGGACCTCATGTCTACTATCAGTACTGTTAGCAAGTGAATAATGCCTTAACTGCACTAAAACTTAATGCATAAAGCACAAAAAATAAATTATTGGATTATTGTTCGGATAAAACAAGCAGCACATTACCACATGTAATATTTTACTGAGCACACAATATACAGCATCAATTATGTTCTTCATTATCGATTGATGTGCCAATTATTTTATTAAATGATAGATTAATCATTCATTCAAAATGTCAGAAAAAAAAAAATTCCCAAAGCACCTTAAACCTTTAGATACTTAATTACTCACATGGTGTAAGACAAAAGAAAGCAGCAAATCCTAGGAAGAATTTCTGCTTAAAAAATTACTTTTACAAACAAAATCCTCTCAGCTGAAGACCTGGAGCCCGTACCACAAAGCGAGATCAGTGGGTTGGTCAGATAGCTTTGGTTTTTACTTGGGTTCTCCTATATCATAAAGCTGGCTCACTTTTATCACCATGGTTACCTATTCTGCACAGCTAACAGCATGTTTAACAGAGGATTAGATCAAAACCCTGTAAACAGAGTGATAAACAGTTTACCACACTAAATGCATGCAGATTACAGCTGCATTTTAATGGTGCTAAGATTCCCTCATTCCTGACAGACAATGCTGACACTCTCATTGAACAGTAATTATATGCTAATGAAAACATACCTATATGAATATTATGTTCAATTTCTGCCAATAGATCCTCCTAAATGTTTCACACTGGACCTTTAAGTTGTACTCACTTCTTGACACAGGCCCCTGGTCTCTCAGTGTTTTTCACCATATAGTCATTTAAAAACACACTATGGGTTTAGACTATTCCTTTATGTGTTTTTTCTGTTTTGTTTTTGCCTCAGTTACATCATTTAAACGTGGCAAGAGATGGTCGTGACACAAAAGTACAACGGCAAAATACAGTCATGTTTGCTGTAATCTACTCATTCTGTTCAGACATTCCTCTTGTGTGATTATATGGGAGAGGAAACCTTCTCCCTGGCTGATTTGAGGGGCAGCTGGGTTCCCACAGTTTCTCTCAGTCACTGAAGTGACATCCTCAAATCGTAGAAAATTACTAGCAATTCCAAGAATTGTGTATAGCATTTTGATGCAACACCCCTTTTAACAATTTCATAATGGTAGGTTTGAGTGTATCATGTCCAGACATGAAGTGCAAAATCACCTGGGTGGAGTATTGCAACTCAAATATCCACTATTTCGTCATATTAGAATTAGTATTAGATGAATATGTGAATAAAAAAGCCAACACTTCTGTATATAATATCTATTCTTCTATAATCATTTTAAATAATAATATTTTTTGACTTGTGGGTGCCTTTTTCTAACATGAGACTGTCTCATGGTTTTCAGATGTATCTCAGTGGAAGAATGTCAGATCCTAACAGCTGCTCCCAGTTGTTACAGAAGCAGTCATTGTCAAAGTTGGATGAAGTTTCTTTTTCTTAGCTGAGCTCATGATTTAAGCGGTCACTGATGAAGCCAGTACTTCTCTTAATCTTAAAATTAAAATACCAAATTTGGACCGCCTGCCTTTCCATGATATTATGAGCCATCTGACAGAACAGAAAGAAGCCTAACAGTGCTTTAAGGCTTTGTCTTCTTCTCTCTTTTGACATTTGAACTACATGCTAATAAAAAAAACAGTTTTGTCTATTTTGTTACAATGATTAGACTATAAAAAGTTCCTTTTTTGTTTTTATTCCCCTATTTTTATACTGTTTATACAACAAAGCCAGGAATGAAGCAAGCATACCTATTGAATTGCATCAACTGTTTCAGTGAATACACACAAACAAGCACTTTCTTTGGCTGTGCACTGCCTAACTTTAATTCAAAGTCTTGCTGAAACGCAAAGCTTTTGTTAAAACTCCCCGTGATACAATGAGAGGAAACGTGCAAGGCAGTTCATACAAAATAGCAAGATTGAGAACTCAGATTACACCGATCGACCACACTTGAAATGGATCCAGCGAGGTGATGAATATTCCTCGGTGCTCAGGAAGCCTTTCAATGGGGCATTGTGGGAAAAGTTTTTCACAAGAGTCCCAACACTTTATTATTATTATTTTTAGAGGAGAGATATTTTGCATTAGTTGTGTAAAAACAGCAGTTGATCAGAGCCATTTATTTGCATGTATGTAGCCAGTATGCATGCAATGTTGACAAAAACCAAAATAACATTGTGGCATCCTTTAAAACTTGGGAAGGACCAGCACTAACACCAAAAGTCAACTATTCATATCCTGTCATTCTTAAAATAGATAAAGGCATGCTGTTTGAAAAGCAATGGTATCAGCTGTTTATTTTTCCTTTGCTATGAAGGTAAAGTCACTATTTACACAAAGTCGTTGGAGGATTGGATTAATAATAAGCTACTAATAATGACCAAGAGCTGATGACACACACTGTACGTAAGGAGGGGCTCAGTTAGTGTAATAACGTGAATATATTGATTCTTCCACAGCTTTTAGGATGTTTTAATCTGGATAATTCTGGATAGCATGGAGTTTCTGTCTATCTGTAACTATTCCTAACGCTTGTATTAACTATTTACATACATTAGTTGTTGACACTACTTGCCAAAGTTACCGAGACAAACCACTAACAGCAGCTACTCACGAGATAGGTGATGCGTCGCTCGAGGAGGGGGTTCCCCATTATAAAAACTCGGGTCGCCACGGACGAGAAGTCACCCCTCAAACCGACGCCATTTGACTCCGGTAGGAACGCCCCACGTACATAATACTAGTCCACATGCTCGCAGCTGAAGCCTGGATCCAGGTCTTCGACAACGTGCACGTAAAAGTGCATCAAGTTCAGCGAGTGATTTACATCACGGCGAGAGACGCAATCCCCATGAATAACAGTGATAAATGGATTGGGAGGGGTCAGTGCTCTCCGCGTGAGGTCAAGTGAACAGAAGAAACCCATCTGAGGAGGGAAAGAGAAGGAGACCCCTACCTGTAGGTTAGGTTACACACACAGGGTTCAGTCAGACAAACATCTGTTTATCGCTTGGGAATGACAGAGGGTTTAATTACTGATATTGTGTAGTATTTTAAAGCATAGCTAAACCAATTTTACTCAAAAAAACAACAACATTTTGGGCTAGTTGAGTTTGATGGGCGGATTGCTGTAAATACTACAATACCCATGAGCCTCAGCCACCGTTGCTCTGGAGATGAAAACAAAAAGGGGCGAATTACTATAACTAACAGCAAAACAAACAAATAAACAAACTCAAATAAAAAAGGAACATATTTAAGATGTTTAATCTATTACTGTTGAGTGTAATTGTTTACCTAGCTAACAACACAACAGAGCTTGTGATTGTAATTATCAAGACAAATGCACCTGGGGGCTTTAAAGTTAACTAAGTTAGCTGGCTAGATTCTTAGTAGACTTATAATTAGTTAGACAGGGCAGGTTAATCCTCAGCTATATTGGGTGGTGGCAGGAATATCAGAGACATATGTCAGAACCAGGTAAAACAATAACTAACTGCATTGCTATAAACGAGGTAAATGATAAAATATATAATTTTTTGGTTAGTGTAATTTGCCTGAACTGGTTCAGTGATATAACAGCTGATAGCTAATGTTAAACCTTAAAATAATTTTTACTCAGGTAACTTTTTATGGATGTCCTATGAAGTATGTATCTGTCTGGTAGATATTAATTAGAATTTTTTTTATATCTATATGATTCAGCAGTCTTGGCAGCACAGCTTGTAGAGTTAAAATGACTGAAAACGCCTGGCTGATATATTGGTGGTAGTTTTTGCAGATATATCAGTATCTATCTGCATAGATATATATATATATATATATATATACACATACATATATGGGCCTATGAGTAACAGGAATTGATAGTAAAGAGCTGTCAAACATATGTTTGAGTTCATTTGGTAACATTACATAGTCTAGTTAATTCACCAGAGAGCAATGCCAAGTGTATTGTAATAATGCACGTCAAAAATATTTACGTTAATGTGAAAAACCTAATATTGACTCACATATGGTTATCATCCATCCAATCCACTCTTAAACGATCCAGTCAAGATCCAAACATTATAGATATATATATATATATTATATTTGACTTGGGTTGATTAGAGGAAATAGGCCGTTTCCAGAGCAGACATTTTGATTTTTCATTATAACAAAGGCACAGGTGTTATTAATAATAATAACTGTCTCTGTTACAGTCAAGTGTCCCAGTAAGTCAAGTAATTTTAGTATTTACATCAGTGCTTTTCAAAATGCCTATTGTGCTTTTTGGTCATTTCTAATAGATTTAAAATTAATGGTGGCTTAATTCAATTTAGCTGCTTCAGTTTCACTGTCCTGGCATTGTGCATGCTGTCATGGCTGCATTGACAGATGACAGTAAGTGAGCACACTACCACCCACACAGTCCTGAGAATAAGTCTCGTTAAAATCTTGTAATATCTTTAATAATCAGACAGCAATGACAGCAGTAAGATATGTCACTTGGCAGTCACCCGTTCACAAGTTGCCTCCCTCTGGATGATGTTTTTGACACACTCGTTGCCTATATAAAATACCCTGATCTTCTCCCACTAAATTATGAAGTCATGTGTGAGGTGAGACTAAAGACAACTTAACAATTCTGGTCGGACATTTCTCTTCTGTTCTGGCATGGCTTTTGCCTCCTGGAGTGCTGGAATGAGGTTGTTAATGTAATGCTGGGTGATGATAAACAGGAAGCAGCATGTCCAACGGAAACAAACCATTTTGAACGTGATGCTGGGTGGAGAAATCCTAATTCACTTTGAGAGCTCTTTAGGCTGCGCAGTATCTTTAGTAAAAGTTGAAAACAATGAAACTCAACAATTAGGTCTTAAAACAGTTATAGAACTTCACCTATAGCCCAATGTTAGTAATAATGGCATCATATCTTGGACATTTAAACACAGATAGCAGATGATCTCTGTGTCCTGCTCTCTGTGAAACATTTAAGTCCCAAGTTTTAGGTTATTACATTAGTTTTAATAAATATCAAGAGCAAATGAGAACCTCATTGCATAGCAGCCAGCTGGGGCAGGTGCTGCCTGGTTCCTAATATCATATTGTCATATTACCGTATATCATATTGTGAGCAGAACAGCCTGCAGATGGATTAAATATCTATTCTGTCGATTACAATTATACCAATATCAGTTCTCCACTTTTGTTCAGGTACAGTGTGAGGGTCCCTTTAACTTATTGCTTCACAAAAGTAGTCAAAACCGCAATCAATCTACATGTCTACATTTTTTTGGAAATCAATTATTCCTTTGAAAGATTTCCCTATGGCATACATAGGTTCACTTGATTTGATTTCAATTGAAAGGTTTAGTGTCTCATGATAAATAGTTTCCAGTACTTTCTGTGGTAGTGAAAGCACAGTGACAAAGAGTACATTTTGGTGAGTCACTCAAAAGATATTTGTGTTAGTGTCTTGCTTTATAAACTATAATTGGAGCCCTCCTTTCACCACTGTTGTTGCTTTTTGTTAATTGAGAGTGGAATAGTAAAAGAGGGAACGTTGCTACATTTCACTGCTAATCAAAACATTTTCTGAAAAGAAGCTGGATTTCAATTAAAATATATTTCTTGCATTTAACAAAGTGGAAGTTTTTTGAGATTCAAGTGGCTTCATAAGAAAGAGATGTTTTTTTTCCCAGTTTCCTCCAAGCTCTTTCTCCTTCAGGCTGTCTCTCCTCCACGGTGCTCAGAGGAATGCAGATTGCATTCCATCTAAACAGCACAGTACGCTCAAACTTTCATCCTATCATCCAATTATTCGACCAATGTATCAGATGTTTTTTATGAGGCATCATGGTTTTTCAGTTTGAAATTCAATGTGTAGCCATTTCAGAATTAAGCTGGCAGCTTTGCTTAAAACAGTATTTAAAGCTACATTTCAATAATGAATAAACAAAATCAACAAACCCCTGCATAGATTAAGAGTGATTTTGATGCCCAGAGAAAGAAATCAGCTTCCTTCATCATATATGACATAAAGGGAATGAGAATAAGATTAAAGTGGCATTTAAAATATGTGGTCAAAAGCCAGTGCTGCTTTAGCAAACAACAAAACTGGACATTGAGGAAACATGCTATGTTGTTTACCTAGTTAAAACTGCAGTGTTATTTACCATAACAGGATAGTCGTGTACATTTTATAAAACTTACATGAGTGCACACATCTTTGGACACTACTGTCTCCCCTTCATCTTGGTCCCAGTGATTAATGTCCTCATTGGCCACTTCAGTACTACAACAGAATGATGAATGGCTCCCTCTAAAGGCTTTGTAAACTTCTGCAATTTACTAGCTCCCCAAGAGAAGAATGGAGATATATTTCATAGTTGCATATCTGATCTGGCTGTTTAGAGTGTCTTACAAAGTTATTTCTCTTAAGGCTTATGCATTGTATCAAATAAATGAAGATTACATCAGACACTGCCTGGGGTCATTTCAAAATCTTCCACAGACAAGATTTCATGTGAACACTATTAAAACAGAATGTAGAAAAAGAAAGACACTGAATGATTTTTTTTTTTTTTTTACATAAAGGATTTAACCAAAAGGCAATATTTTTCAACATCTCACAAGGTCTTAATATCCAGAAGGTAGTCCAATAACAGCCTCAAATGAAATCAATTTAAATGAATCCTTAAAATGACTGTAACAGATGCTAGGAACTTATGTGGTGGATCAGAGAAGGAATCTACAGTAATTGACTTACAGTGTGGCAGTCATACCTACTGTCACGATATATTCAAAGGCATCCAGAACACTTTAAGAGCAGTTCTATAGTGCAGTATGCCGTGCAGATGTATAAAGGAGATAAATACAGACAAAGGGTATTGCAGGTTGCAAGAGAAATACCTAAAATGAACTTTAATGTACATATATTGTTAATGCTGCTGTAGTCTGAAGCTCATATGTATGTTTCTGTAATAGACCTTTTTCACAGCAACCATTTAGACATTAAATAGTAGGGTAATCACAGCTGTTACCGATGATACTAATTAAGGTTCTGTTCCTTAAGACAGGGTTGCTGCTGGTAATGCATGTTGGCTCACTGCAAAGGCTCTGCTACACTAAATGGAACAGAACCTTAATTAGTGTCATTGGTGACACCTGTGACCCTACTATTTCATCTCAAAATGGCTACTGTAAAAAAAAAAAAGTCTATTGTCCTCCCTTATCCAAAAGAATGCAAAATCTCACACACACCACAATGAACATATTTATGTTATTTGGAGGCATGTTGCACTGTCCCTGTGATTAACTGGCGACCTGTCCAGGGCGTACCCTGCAAACACCCAGTATCGGCTAGAATCTGCACCAATCTATTGAGGCTGAGGAATACCCTTTGACTCACAAAAGGCTGATCATATATGGCTGTTATGTAACCATACAAAGGTATTTGAAAGTGAGATTTGATTGAATTGATGTGAAACAATGTCTTACCACCTATGCTTACATCTAACTCACTGTTTATTTTCTCTCTTATCAGACACAAACTGGGTGCTATGGTGCTGAAGTTTCAAAATCCAGCAGGTTTAGTTCCATGCCATGCAAATGGACGGACAGTCTCCCGTGGGAAGAAATATGTGCCTGAGGGACTGTAGCCAAGGATCAGGCCATGCTGCTGTACTGTGAGAAATAAAAGTTGAGGCTTTCTTCATGTAAACCAGATGTCTCTGCTTTCCATCTCAGCACAGCCTACCGAGACCCTGAGTAAGTACACCTCTAACAGAGCAGTGATATTCAACCTATGGAAAATGCAAGGTCATATAAAGCATATATCAAAAATACCATTCTGACTCTATTTTAAACAACGGAAACAATGTTTTTTTATGCCAGGATCATGCTCCAATAAATGACCTCTTGCTGATCATTT